CTATTTTTCAAATTTTTTAAATTGAGATATAACTGACACACATTATACTAGTTTCAGGTGTACAATGTAATTTTTTCTTGTGATGACAGTCTTCAAAATCAACTCTCTTAGCAACCCCCAAATATACAGCACCCCATCATCAACTGTAGTCACCACGCTATACACAAATCCCCAGGACTTATTTATCTTATGACTGAAAGTTTGAACCCCCGTCACCTTCACCTTGCAGGTGCAGGGGACCTGAACCGTCTCCATTTTGAGGCTCTTATTGCTTTTAGCAAACAAAACCAGAACTCTCTTACAAAAACATCTAGTGTACAGTTTCTTAAACGGACTTTAATTAAAGTACAATATACCTGCATGAAAGACACAAATCCCAAGTGTACAGCTCAGTGAATTTTCAGCAGTGAACATCTGTGTAACCAGCACTCCAGGTGCCCCCTCCAGCCCCTCCTGCCACTGTCCTGACTCCTAAGGCCAGAGATTCCTTTGCTGGGTTGACCTGCTGTATACATGGAACTGTATACAGCTGTTGCCTTGTCTATCTTGCTATTTTTGCACAATATCGTTTGTGTGGTTCACACATCCATATCTGTTCATTCTCTCTTTTATACAGTATTCTGTTATATGAATACACTGCAAGTTATCCTTTCCACTGCTGATGGAATTCGTGCTGATTCCAGAACTTGGCTATATTGAATAAAGCCTCTATGAACATTCTCGTACAGAGTTTTGGTGCACATATGTATACAGTTCTGTTAAGTATGTGTCTAGGAATGAAAATACTGGACCATGGGTAGGGTGTATATTCGACTTTTGTAGATATTGCCAGTTTTCCAAAGTGGTTGTGCTAAGTTACCATCCCAGTGGCAGTGTGAGTGCTGGTTGGTCTGCATTCTCACCTACCCTTGGTACTGTCACCAAGGGTATTAGTGGTACTGCATAGTATCTTTCTTTAGTGGGTCTTAGTGGTACTGGTGGGTATTAGTGGTACTGCATAGTCTTTTTAATTTGCAATCCTGATGACTAATGAAATTTCTTACGTTTAGTGGTCACTTGGCTAATTTCTGTGAATTGTCTACGTAAGACTTTTGGCCATTCTTCTGTTGAGTTGCCTACTTCTTTCTTCTTGGTTCATAGGAGTTAAAAAGTATGTCATCTGGATATGAGCACTTTCTCAGAAATATTTTCTCCCACTTGGGTCACTTGCCTTTTCAGTCTCTTAGTGATGTCTTTTAATGAGCAGAAGTCTCTGCTTTTACTATAATATAATTTATTAATATTTTCTCTTATTATTTTGTGTGCTATTGAAAATTTTTTCGCCTATGCCAAGATCATGAGGATTGCCTTCTTTTCTTCTAAAAGCTTTCACAGTCTGCACCCCTCTGGAACTGACTTTTGCGTCTGGTGGGGGGCAGAGGATCAATGTTTTTTTCCATATGGATATTTAATTGGCCAGCCTGATTTATGGAAAAGGTCATCTTTTCCCACTGTACTGCTGTGTCATCTTTGTCATAAACCAGGGGATGGTACCCGTGTGAATCTGTTCCTGGTATATATGTCTGTTTCTTTCAGAAAATGCGATGTAATGGTGCCATGCACGAGGTCATTTCAGAGTTTATAAACTCCTAGAGTACAGCGTGCAGCAGGTGGGGCTGTCTGCCAGTGGACCCTGGCTTGAGCTTGCTGACAAGCATCTCCCTCTCTTCATTATCTTGAGGCTCACCATGAGCTCACTTGTCCACAAATTCAGGAAGCTGACTTGGATGCTCCCAGTTCCTGTGAGGTCTCTGGACCCCCAGAGGGCACCCATGTGGCCCCAGCAGCTGGGGTGGGGCAAAGTCTCTTCCCAGCATTCATTTTCCCTCCCTTTTCCCAACTGTGCTGGGCCATAGGGAAGACTGCACCTGGCTCTGCAGGAGCATCTGGGGTCTGAGAGGTGGGGTTCTTACAGCAATTCACTGCTCGAGGGTCTGGGAGCCCCAAGCGGTCCCTTGAGGATGTGGCATTCAGCACAGCAGGGGCTGGGACTGACCTGCTAAGATGACTTCACTTTGTGTAGAGGGTTGCATGTTGATAAGCAAGTCCAGGGTCTGGGGGCACGGGGACAATCTCTTGGCTCTCTGAGTGTCCCAACAGAGTGACAGCTCTGCTCCTGGGGCCACCAGCCTGGGACCCAAACTCTGGATCGTCCACTGGGAAGAGATGGGCAGTGTGGGCAGCAGGGCGTGGTGGGAGAGCCAGGTCAGGGAGTGGGTCAGGAGCATGGGTTCCAGAGCCAACTCTGGCATGAGCTCAAGGGTCTCCTGGGAAACTCTCCGCCCCTCTCTGGGCCTCCAACTCCTCAGTTTTGGTCTCTCTGTGTTATGGGTTGCATTGTGTCCCCAAAAGGATGTGTTGAAGTCCTAACCCCCTGGAACCTTGGAATGGGACCTCATTTGGAAATAGGGTCTTTGCAGATATAATCAGGCTAAGATGAGGTTGTAGCATGGGCCCTAATTTAATCTGATTGGTGTCCTTACAGGAAGAACAGAGACACACAGAGAAGGCAAGCATGTGAAGATGAGGGCAGAGATTGGAGTGATGCTTCCACGTGCCCAGGAACACCTGGGGCACCAGAAGCTGGACGAGGAGGGGGAAAGGGTCCTTCTCTAGAGGCGTCAGAAGGAACATGGCCCTACCAACACCTTGATTTGGGACTTCTGCCCTCGAAAACTGTGAGAAAATCAAGGTCTGTTGTTCTCAGCCAGTCAGTATGTGGTACTTTTTTTTTTTTTGCGGTACACGGGCCTTTCACCGTCGTGGCTGCTCCTGTTGCGGAGCACAGGCTCCGGATGCGCAGGCTCAGCGGCCATGGCCCACGGGCCCAGCTGCTCCACGGCATGTGGGATCTTCCCAGACCGGGGCACGAACCCGTGTCCCCTGCATCGGCAGGCAGACTCTCAACCACTGCGCCACCAGGGAAGCCCCGAGTATGTGGTACTTTTTACAGCAGCCCTAGGAAACAAATACAGCCTGCGTCTGGGCTTGCCCCTCCCATCTGTCCTTCGTCACATCACTCTCCTGTGATCACCTGTCAGTAGTGGCCCATAGCGACCACTGGAGCAGCATCACGGATGCTGACCGCGTCTCCCACCCAACCAGCCCCAGATGAATCCCTGGCTCCTGCCTCCCTCCCCCCAGCACCCCACCAGCTCATTTTAGGCACACCCAACAGTCACTCTGGCCAAAGGATGACTCAAGTGTTATCCTTGACTCCTCTCCCTCATGCCTGCCTCCAATTCAGTGACAAATTCTATCAACTCTACCTCTAAAGCGTATTCTCAGTTCTTTGCTTCCACCATGATCATAGTATTTTAAGCCTCCAACTGCTCTTTCTTGAACTACATGACAGCCTCTTGTGGTAGGTTGATTGCAAAAGTGGCCATAATCCTTTATTTCCCCTTATGTCCAGCCCCTTGGCAGTTGGCTTTGCAGTGCCTTACTTCTATAGGCAGAGTCTACTTCTCCACTCTGGACTCTGAGCTGACCTTGGGACTTGCTTTGGCCATTGAGAACTGCATGCAGTGACGGTGTACCGGTTTTGAACTTAGATCTCAGGAGACCTCGTGCACTTCCCGGAATGCTGCCACCACTGTGAGCACCAGCCCAGGCTAGCAGGCTAGAGGATGACGTGCATGGAGCAGAGACTAGACATCTCGGTCAAGGCTGTTATAGACCAGCAAACCCTCAGTGAAGTCACTAGCTAACCCACCAACACATGAGCCCAGACTAGATTGGCTAAGCCTGGCCTGGATCAGAATGGTTTGATTGACCAGAGGTCTCATGAGGAATTATGTTCTTTAAACTACGTTTTGGAGTAATTTGTTACACAGCCATAGCTAATTGATACACCTCCTTAACTAGTCACCAGGTTGTCCCTTCCCCTCTCACAATATTTTCTCTTCTCAGAAGCCAGAGTGATCTCTCCTCTATTTGTCACCCTCCAATGGTCTCCTGTTGCAATTGAATGACTCCAAGCTCTGGACCATAGTCTTCAAGGCCTGACTGATTCCCTGCTTCCTCAGTCTGCTTCAGCCACAGTGACCATCCTCTCAGTCCCATGAATGTGCCTTTGCTCTTGCAGTCCCCTCTGCTGGAGCAGACCCTCCTATATCTGCACTTGGCTGCCTCCTCCTAAGCCACATATTAACTCAAATATTTCCTCAGGGAGGCCTGCCCTGACCACTCTAGCTAAAGACATCTTCCCCAGCCTCTGCCCAGTCCTTTCCTTTCATTGCATCCTGGTTTTACTTCCTCATCAGTTGATGAACGTATTGGCGTCGAGGAGCACAGCAACTCCTCTAACTAGAAATATAAGCTCCAGGAAAGCAGCAATCACGCGTTCTTCTGTTTTACTGCTCTACCCCCAGTATTTATAACAGTTCCTGGCATATAGTAAGTGCTCAATAAAGATTTGTTAAATGAATGAATAACAAGCCCAAGGGGGGGAAGAAAAAAACCCTTGTGGCATAGCTTACAAATCATTTGCAAGCATATGATTTCCTGACACCGTTCTCATCAATTCTCCACCCCACGCAGGTGGAACTACCTGCAGGTTCCCCATCATACTGCCCCGGCCTCTAAGCTTTTGCACACACTGTTCCTTTGGTCTGCTCTTCCTTCCCATACAAAAACGCTGGGGACTATTTATTCTCAAAAGTTTTATGTCAGAAGTTTCGTCCTTCAAGAGGCTTTCCTCAAAAATGTTGGGGTTAGCAGATGCAAACTATTATATATAGAGTGGATAAACAACAAGGTCCTACTTTATAGCGCAGGGAACTATGTTAAATATCCTGTGATAAACCATAATGGAGAAGAATATGAAAAAGAAACTATATACATGTATACATATATATCACTTTGCTGAATCATTTTGCTGTACAGCAGAAATTAACATAACATTGTGAATCAACTGTACTTCAACTGAAAAAGAAAAGAAGATTTTTTGTCTCCCCACTCCCAGCCCATGGTGCGGTCCTCCCCCAGGTCTCCCAGGCACTTCACATGCTCTCTGCACTTCACTGATTTTACTGTTTACTCCTCTGTCTTCAGGACCATATGGCCCAAGCCAGCAGGACCAGGCCTTCTTAACTACTGAGTCCCCGGCCCAGCCACAGGGCCTGGTGGGGCTCAGTAAATACGTGATATGATCAGAAGCAGATGAACTAGGTGAGCTGAAGATCTGCTCTTTCCTCAATCCAAACTTGTGAAGGTCAGAGAGAATGTGGGCCGTGATGGATTTAAGGAACTGGGTGGTGCAGTGGAGATAATTACTGGAGTGTTAGAATCACAAACGTCCTGCTCTGCATCACCTGACCACTCCACCTGGCGAGGAGAGCTCCAGATTAGAGGTTGGAAAGGTGGCACCTCTCCTGGCTCCTCTGTGACGTCAGAAGGGCTGGGCTTCCCTCTGCCTGAGCACCTCCCTGCCTCTGGGTCTCCTAGTGAGTTGTGGAGAAAAAGCTGATGTAAAACTCCAGCCCTGCAGAAAAGAACCCAGCGGTCTTGATGAACCATAAGGGGAATGCAGCAAGCCTGCCATACAGTATAATTGGTGGAGGGAGAGCAAACGAATGAATGAACGGAATTTATAGTCACCTTGGAGTCAATCCTTCTTACCAGAAAGAACTCAGTCTTTGGCACCTTATTAGAAAACTGGGCTAGATCCAGCCTTGATCAATGCATTTTAAGAGGGGTGTGGAAAGGACACTGGAGAAATAATCAAATGGAATTATGTGACAGAAAACTGAAAAAACAAGTATGAAGTTGGAAAGGCCAAATGGTCATTGTCATATCACACAGCGGCTCTCAGTGATGTATCTGACGTTTAACTTCTCAGGGCCATTTCATCTGTGCATTTTTTCCTCAGTACACATCCTCCCTGAATATGAATATTTATTAGACAAAGGAGACTGACTTCTCCTCCCTTTCCCCTGTGGCTCAAAGGAGAGAACATGGGCTCAAACGGCAGCAAGAGAGAGGCAGATTAGATAGGCAGAAGGACTTCCTGGAGGTGAGAGCACTCAGTGCAGGAAAGAGGTTGGCAGTGACTCATGCAGACCACTGAGTCAGTGGGACGAAGTGAATGCCTCTGAAGATGGTTTTAGGTTTTGATTTTGAATGTGACAATACCGACAAAGTGCCTGACACTTGGTGATGCTCAGGAAATACCTTTCTTTCCCCTTTTAGAAGAGCTGGTTCTCCCCAAGAACAGGTATTTGCTGGAGAAAGGGACTATCGTCTAATTGTTCACAGCTGGTTTCTTGAGATTCTAGCTGTGGGCTCTGTCCAAACATCGCCGGGCTGCCGTGCTCCGGGCACACGTCTCTGAGCTGCCCACAACCCTAAGGGGCTCTGCCTTCCCTTAGTGGTGACTTGAGTGGGTGCATGGGGGGATTGGAAACCTCCACACTTTTGCTCTGACTCCCAAGGGCAGTGACTCTCAGTGGAGAGAGCCACTCACCTCAGAGGGGTCACTTTGGAGCCTCGAGATAGGGCATGGAGATTTAAAAAGCATATGGGGTGGGGGGCAGTGGAATCCCTGCCCTTTTCGTATATGGAGGCAGAAAGTAAAACCTGGTTAGTGGGGCCCAGCTGGACCAGCGGCTATATCTGATCCCCTGGGGGTGTTCACTAGCCCTGGAGGGCTCAGGGGCCATTTAATTTTTGGACTTACCACGAAGGGCACGGGTTTGGAATCAGCAGCTTTTCAACAGGGTTTGACTCAACATCGATAGGCCCAGTTTTAAGGACCCCTCCTGGGGAAGCCGGGGCTGGGAAATCTGCTCCTCATTCACTGTAGAAACTAGGGAAACAGCTCACACGTTTATCGAGCTCTTGTGTGTCAATGTCTGTGCTTCATGCTTCACATGGAAGCTCTCGTTTCCTCTTCTCAGCATCCCTGCTCAGCAGGTTCCATCATTAGCCCCATTTTACAGATGAGGAAACAAAGGCACAGAGAAGGGTGGTAACTTGCCAAAAGTCACACAGCTAGTAAGTGGGGCAGTTGGGATTTGAACTTACTTGAATGCTTACAGGGACCTCCATTGGCCGTTGCTGCATGAGAGGAAGGCAGCATCTCCGAACTGTCGGGCAGGATTTGCCAGGAGCTCCGTCAGGCAAGAACGGGAGACTAAGGTGAGGACACTCTTCCCATCCCAGCCCTGCCGCTTCTCGCCTGTGTGACTCTGAGCCAGTTCCTTGCTCTCTGTGACTTCTCTGAGTAATCCTTGTTTACCTGAGTTGACAGAGTCCTCTCCCTCCTGCCCTCCCGATCAGCTTCCCACCCTACACACACGAGGGCCAGCTCCCCGCAGAGCCGTGTCCGCCACAGGAGGTAGTGGGGATGGCTGGGCAAGACCTGGGGTGTATGTGTCCCCAACAGCCCCTCAGTACTTTGTCTCTCCTGAAATCCCTCTGGAGGCTCTGGGCTCCCATTTCTCACTTCTTCTAAGACTTCCTTTCTAAGAAGGCTTTTTCAAGGAGTGTTCTTTGGGGGGTGGGGAGGAAACCTATAGTTTCTCCTGCGTTGGTTCTGACTTGGATGGCGAGGACAAAACACTACGTCAGTGCAATGATCCAAGCAGTCTAACCTTGTTTCCTGATCGCTACTGTCGTAAGGGGATGCCCCAGGTCTGAAGAGCCAGGTGTGGTGTGCCAGAGGGTGGCGTCTGATGGCCGAGGGTCCAACAGCGGAGGGGGCTTGAGGTGGCCGGGAAGAGGAGCTATTTAGAGGGCTACACTGATGTTTTGGTTGAACACCTTTTTAGCATCTCTCTCTTCTTCAACCACGTGGGGGTGGATGTCCTCGTTCATTCCTGCATCCTTGCACAGCTTGAGCAAAGTTCGAATATTGTTCTTGGACAACCTCAGGTATCTGTGCGAGACAAGGCCAAAGAGGTCAGTTGAGGGTGGAGTCACTGCAGGCGTAAACTTCATTGAAAAGAGCTTAGAGTTAAAGAGCGACAGTGTGGGACCTCTGTAAGGGACTGGCCCTCCAGACATTTCTGGAGCTGACAGAGGTCTCATAAAAGACTGGGACACCCCACAGACTTGGTGGGTGTTTTTATTGGTATAACTCTTTTGGAAATCAATTTGGCAACATATATGCCAAGCACCTCCTGCCCCACCCCCCAAAAAACCAGGTTTATTATTTTTGACTCAGTAATTCCCCTCAGGTCCTCAACTTATCCCAAGAAGAGAATTCAATGGAAGGAAAAGCTACATAAACAAAAGTGTTTATTTTGGGGTTATCAACAATAGGAAAATAGGAAATTCCATCAACAGAGGAATGGTCAAGCAAAAAATGGAATATCCATTTCAAGGACTCTTCTGCTAGTGTTAAAATGTTGTTAGGAAGAAGAAAATGCAATATGGCTGTGACGTTATTGCCAAATGGGGAGAAAAAACCAGGATGCAAATTGTTAGGTGTTTTCTCTCATCACTGCCACGTGTGTATAATCTGAGTGAGTCCAAGGACTGGGGGAATCCAGGACAGTGGAAATAAAGGCTGAGAAAACTGTAGGAATAGAGGTGAGTATTTTTAATAGTATTCAAACTATTACAATTTTCAATTAAAAAATTAAAATTAAAACACTGATTTAAAATATTAGCTAAAGCCCCACCATTCTGACTTGTACTGAGGAATAGGACTGATGCCATTTATGTGATTTAGACAGTATCTCTGCCATCATATTCCTTATTCCACCATCAACTTTGACCTTGCTCCCATCTTTAGTATAAGGAGGGAGGCCCCCGATTCAGGCTGCATTCCGGTTGGTTAATTTGCTACAGGTGGTGGGGGAGGAGTTGCATATTGATAGAACCTGGCTTTTCTACCCATTGGGAATGGTCTCCCTACTCTTTCCTTTTTTTCTTCTTTCTTTTTTTTTGGCCATACCTGTGGCCCGCAGGATCTTAGTTCCCCAACCAGGGGTTGAACCCAGGCCCTTGGCAGCGAAAGCCTGAAATCCTAACCAGTAGGCCACCAGGGAACTTCCCTTCTCTTTGAAGATCTGCCCAGAGCTTCCCTGTTCTTACAGGCAGCTCAGACCTCACTCACCAGCCCCTATACCTGTACTACCTTTCCCCGACACGGCTCAGGTCAGCCCCACCCTTCCCTGACCAGCCCAGCCCCAGGGGGCAATCTCACACATATCTACCTGTGGACGCTCACTAAGATTGCAAAGGACAATTTCATCCTTTTCTTGGGTGTTTTTCTAATGGCTTGTTAATTGCCATCTCTCCAAATATTCTCTCCCCCTACCCTGTCCAAGTCTCTTTTGTCCCCACCATGGAGCCCAGGTAGGCTGTCTTTGGCCAGAGTCAATTAAAACCACTTTATCAATTTGAAACCCATAGCCAAAGTCATCCAGCTGTGGAGGTGGCATGAGCCAGAACCCCCTCTAGTGGAAGAGACTGCCTGTCCATCTTTCAATCAGTTAGTCAGCCAGAAGAGCAGGACTGTGTGATGGCGCCCTCAGACGCCAGGCATCTGAGGCCGTCTGAAACCTACAGGCGAGTTCACTGCTGTGAACTCTACAAGGCTGACTACCTTAGTCTCTTGTCCTATTTCCTCCTTTGCCAAAGTTTCTGAGTGTTGTCAGTTACATCTTTACAGTAAAGAATAACATTGGGCTGGGGAGGGATGCTTGGATTTGGGGGCAAAAACCAAGCTGTTTGGTGTTGCTGAAAACCAGTGGGTCTTGAGAAGTATGACAAAGAACAAGGAAGAAGTGAGACCCCTTGGTAAGAGCAGTAAATACCAAATGGTTTCATACTTTGTTCATGGTCCCCTTGGAGTCTAAAACCCCAAACGTACAGCAGGTAGCCCTGGGAGTGGTGGCTACTGTCACCAGCAATTCAACACCATTAGTGTAAAGGATCTTGGGGGAGTTTCCTGTTAAAACAAGGCCACAAACAACTCATTCTTTCCTTTGTGGATAATATTCATGGTTTCTTTTGTGAAACAAAGAGAAATTTTAGAAAGGTCGTGTATGCGTCCAAAGGCGTGGCGTCAAAATGGCAGCACCTAAATGTCGTGTCCATTCAGGAGATGATCCTCTAGCGAGTGAGGCTGCTCAGAAACCCAACAGCTTCAGCCCTGGAGCAGCCCTCTGGGACTCAAAGACAGAGCCCGGACATGCGGCAGCCACCCTCCCTTGCTCTGGGCTCAGCCCAGGTGCATGAACCACAGACAGTCGTGAACAAAGCCTGGTCTTGCAGAATGCGCCCAGCCCCACCTGCACAGGGCTGCTCACCGGCAGCTCAGCACCTCTTCTGGCTTCAGCATCCTCACCGTCTCCATCTTGGGCTCGCTGCCCTTCTCCATGAGGCTCTTCAGCTTACGCTCGTAGGAGGCGTCGGGCGTCTTGCCAACCCAATCTCGCAAGAGGGTTGACTTCCGTGGGACAAAGATAGCATCCTGTAACATGGGTTCTATGATGCTTTGTTGATGGTATGGCGTTGAGCGCTGAGTGGACTCTTGGGTGATTTCATCCTTGATGTCTAAGTCTGAAATTGGACAGATGTCACCAGGGGGTTAGATCCTGGTAGAGGTGAGCAGTAGGGTGGACAGGAAGGAGATGAGACCTGGAAGGCTGCAAGGGCTTCAAACATTAGAGATATGAGGTCTTTTCAAGGCTTTGGCAGGTCCTCCTTAGCATTTGTTTAATCCCCATTCATCTTTTTCTCCCTCCTTTCCCCTCATCTCCTCAACTCATTCCCTTTCACTCCTTTCATTCATTTCCTTCTCTCAATCTTTTCTCCCTCCCCAGAGAAAATTCACCTAAAGTGAATGTTAGCCTAAAGGGGGGTTAGGGGAAGGTATCAGAGGAGATCAACTTTGAGCTGGATTTTTAAAGGACAAATAGTTTATCAGATGAAAAAGGGAGGAACAGCCTGGGCGGACAGGAGGAACAAAGACACACATATATGAAATGAAGTAGTGAGGGTCTGATGTTACCCATCAGACTAGATGGGACTAGAGCTTGGAGACCTTAATTATTTTCTTGTTAAACATACTCCTCTGTATTTTACAGATTTTTACTTGTGCGAGTGGAATATTTTCTTTTCATTTCTATTTCTAACTGGTGCGACCAGTATAGAGAAAACACTACTGTTTAAAATTTTGTTTTCTAGTACACCAACAACCATACCAGATTTTATTATTATTATTATTATTTTTGCTGTACATGGGCCTCTCACTGTTGTGACTTCTCCTGTTGCAGAGCACAGGCTCCGGACGCACAGGGTCAGCGGCCATGGCTCATGGGCCCAGCCGCTCCGCGGCATGTGGGATCTTCCCGGACCGGGGCACGAACCCGTGTCCCCTGCATCGGCAGGCGGACTCTCAACCACTGCGCCACCAGGGAAGCCCAGATTTTATTATTTTTTGACTAGAATTTCTTGAGTTTTGTAGAAAGGCAATCATATCAGGAGAAAAATGAAAATATATCCCTCTTAATATTTATAAAATTTATGTACTCCTCTTGACATGTTGCATTTGACAGACCCTCCAAAACTATGTCAATAATGATGATAGCAGTCATGCCTCATTTTGTTCCTGATTTTAATGAAAGTGATCCAGCATTTCATCATTTAGAATGATATTTGCCACTATTTTTGGAATATGTTTTATAATATTTAGCAGCTTTGGTCTTGGTTTACATAGAGTTTTTATTAGTAATAATTGCTTGATTCTATTTATTGCTTTTCTATCATCTACTGATCATATGGTTTTCTTTTAATTTCTTGATGTAATAAATTATGTTATTAGATATCTTGATATTGATTAACCGAACCATTCATAACCTGCTATAATAAATCCCACCTGGTCATGGTTTATTATTCATTTCATATGTGGATATATTTGCTATATTTTCATACATTAAGTCTATTTGCTACAATTTTTTAAATCATTTAAAAATCATCTATTATTGTGAGATTGGCCTGCTTTTTTGCCTAATCTTTTAAGTTTAAGGTTATGATGGCTTGTCAAATTAATGCACAAATGTCTGTATTTTATATGGCCTGCAATAGTTGAAGTGACATTGGGATTATTTGCTTTTTAAATGTTAGGTAGAACTTGGTGTGAAATCATTTGTCCTGGTGCCTTTTGTAGTGGGAAAATGTCTACCATCTTTCAATTTTTACCTCAGAAATTGCTCTATTCAACTTTTCTACTCTTTACAATGTCCATTTTGATAATTTATAGTCTGATAGGAAATTATTCATTTACGCTGGATTTTCAAATGTATTGTGTAGATGTGCATATAGTATTCTATTATAATTCATTTAATGTATTTTTTATCTTTGCTTATGCATCCTTTCTCATATAAAATCTTGTATATTTTTGACTCTTTTGACAAGGCTCACGATAACTTCATACTGTTTGTCACTTGGTTTTTGAAAAAGCTAGCTTTGGCTTTATCCTTTTAACTACTTTTAATCTTGTATTTCATTAATCTTAGCTGGTATTTAATGTATTAATTCTCTCTTTTTCATATTAATGATTTCTTCTATATCATTAAATTAATAAAAGTGTTAATTTTTTTGTTTGTTTTATACAGACAAGAACGATTACTTTTAGTTTTTGCTGTAAATTTTCTTCTGGGCATAGATTTCGCCTTCATCCCATGGATTTTGGTATGAAACAGACTTATTTTCAATGGTTTTTTTCTTTGAAATAATGGTATTTTAGGAGTGTTTCTTAACTTCTGTTGAGATCACCTTTTCATTTTAATTCTAATTATTGCGTTAGGACACCGTAGGCGGCCCTGAAATCTTTACTCCTGTGAAGGTTAATGATTTCTTTTCATGAATATACAGATGATGTTTAGAAATATTCTTTGGTCACAGAAAAATGCGTGTCCTCTGTTCAACTATAAAGTTATGGTTTGTTAATTACACGGTTAGATTCTTCTAGGCACTTACTGTAATTGCCTCTTTGATCTGTCTATTGGGTTCTGAAAGAGGTATTTTGCAGTCTCCTACTATAACTTTATTTTTGTCAGATTCTCTTTGCATTTCTAAATGTTTATTTAACTACTACTTTTTTGTTGTGTGTAGGTTTATTGTTATTATTTGTTCTCTTTAACATTTTAAAATATCCCTCTTTTACCCTGTTGTTTCTTTTAGCCTTAAACCCACCTCATATGTTTGCATTTCTTGTTATCTCTTTGCCTATCATTTTTTCATTCTTTCTATATCGCGTGATTTTAAGTGTGTATCTAGATTTTGATTTTTAAACCAATTATTTCCTACTTTGGTGCCTCTGCCCTCTTCTAGGGCATTTTCTATAGATGAATGGATAAATGGCTGAGAAAGTCCCTAAATATTTCTGAATTTGCAAATATCATTCATTCACCCTGACGGTAACTTATATACGGGCTGAGGATAGGATTATGAGATTATAAGTCTTTGCTCTCAGTAGTCTATAGGTGTTCATTTCACTTCTAGATTGATGCTAATTTGACTCTTTTTCCTTTGTAAGTAAGTTGTTCTTCCTGTAAGCTTGCAAGATTTCATAAATAAAATTCAGGAATTTTACCAGGATATGTCTGGGGGAGTCTAGACCTTCTACAATTACATAAATGGAGGGAAAGTGGCCTGGAGAGAAGCTTTGACTTGCCCATGGTCTCAGAATGAGTCAGTGGCTGAACTGGAATCTTTATGTCCAGAATGGCTCTCTAAACTGACAGCTGGCCCCGAACAGGGTGATAGGGTCAGGTGGTATTAGCAGTCTGTGCATGGTGGAAATTGGTCCTATGTTCCAGGAGAATCCTGAGCTACACATCTTCACTGACACGAATTGAAATCCCTTGGAGAACGGGCCATAGCCTTTCCTGAGACGTCTGATCCTCTTCTGGGTCAAGGTAGGTCTCACGTAGGAAAGAAGAGCAGTAATAGAAAGGGTGATGATAATTTTACATATTAGCTAACACTTATTGCATAACTTATGTGCCAGGCAGTGTTCTAAAGCCTTTCTAGGGAGGGGGGCAGCTACAGTCTCACAACCATGTCACATCCATTGAACAAATGGGAAAGTGGAGGATTGGAGAGATTAAGTCATGTGCCCAAGATGCCATAGACAGTGGTGGATCCAGGAAAATGTGAACCCAGGTTGTCAGTGCCTTTTTCTGGGAGATTATCCTGGCTACCCTCTTGGACAAAATGTCCCATGTTCCTGAGTCCATGGATGAACACATAAGTTAAGATTTCTGGTGAGCTCTGTTTGGGACTCCAGGGACTGCTCTGTACTCATAGAGACAGAGTTGGTAACTGCCCTCCAACTCTCCACATTAGGAATGCACCCTTGCCTGGCAGGGGCAGAATGCTCTGAGCATAGTGGGCAAGGAGAGAAAGCCAAATGAGTTCCATTTTCTTAGTCTAGATGCTCAGACTTTGTCAAGGTTTACTTTGGAAATGTGTTCCCAGTGTTTTCCCAGCATCTTTTAGAGGCCCTTAGCCAGAATCACCTTTTAAAAATTCAAATCTAACTTGGCAGCTTCCTTCCTAAAACTTTTCAATGACTTCTCATTGCACTCAATCAGGTTTGTGCTTTGGAAAAGCCAATGTGAGACTTCTGCTTCCAGCCAAGATAGGGTAACAGGGACTGGATTTCTCCTTCCATCTTAAGCAGCTATAAAGTGGGGCCAGATACATGAAACAGGCTTTTTCAGACATTGGACAACAGGTAATTCAGGGCAGTGGCTCTTGAGAAAAGGAAGAGGTGAGTCCCATGGGAGCCCCAGCTGAGAGCTGGGAGATGCTTCCAGGTTGCAGCACAGGGAGGGGAAAACCTAGATAATATCTAGCAGTTTCCCTGAGTTGGGGAGAGAATAGACAATTTAAATGGGCCAAGGAAGCTAGAATTCACAGGGCAGAGTAACAGGAGAAAACTGCATGGAGAGCTGCAGAGATCTGCAGAAGCTTCTCTCAGCTGAATACTAGTTATGCAGGAGAGGAAACTACATAGATAGAACTGGTAGACAAGACCACTAAAACAGCTATTATAACTGTATAGCTCTGTATGTTCAACAAAACTTGAGCATGCTAAGGCAAGACACAGAAGGTTGAAAATAACCCAGATTGAAATTCTAGACATGAAAACTTCAATGTCTAGTATGAAAAATACATTGGGTGGGATTAATAGCAGATTAGGTATTGTAGAAGGAAAAATCAGTGAATTTGAAGACATAGCGACAGACACTATACAAAATGAAACACAGAGAGAAAAGACTGGGGAAAAATCCTACTGAGTTGCAGAACTTCAAATATGTGTAATTGTGGTGCCTGAAGGAGAGGAGGAGGGTGGAGGAGTGAAAATATATTTGAAGAAATAATGGTCCAAAATTTTCCAAATATGATGGAAACTATAAACCAAGAATCTCAACAAACCCCAGACACAAACACAAGAAACATGAAGCAAACGACATCAAGACACATCATAACCAAGATGCTTGAAAACTTCCAAAGAAGTCAGAGGAAAAAGATACGTTACAGGGAACACATACATAAAGATGACAGCCAACTTCTCGCTGGTGACAATGCAAGCTAGAAGGCAGAGCACAACTTTAAAGCATTGAAGAAAAAAGCTTGTCAGTCTAGAATTCTACACTCAGCAAAAGTACCTTTCAGAAACAAAAGTGAAATAAAGACCTTTTCAGATATATAAAAGCTGAAGGAATTTGTCACCAACAAGCCCACGCCATAAGAACTGTTGAAGGAAGATCTTTAGGCAGAAGGAAATGACTCCAGGCAGAAAGCTGGACCTGTGTAAAGCAATGAAGAGCACTAGAAATGTTAACTATGGATAAACACTGAAGTCTCTCTAAAAGATATTTGCTTAAAGCAAGAGTAATAACAGTGTATTGTGGGGTTTATAATAACTTATGGAGAAATACAGTGAATGGCAACAATATCCTGAGGGTTGGGAGAGGAGAAATGGAAGTATACTCTTGTAAGTTCCTTATGTTCTACGTGAGTGATACAGACTATGAGGTGAAGGGAGGCTGTGATATGTCAAAGATGAATCCTGTCAACCCTAAAGCAACTACTAAGATAGCACAACAAAGAGTTATAGTTCACAAGCCAACAAAGAAGATAAAATGGAATCACAAAAACTACTCAGCCCAAAAGAAGGCAGAAAAACAGGACGGGGAGGGCAAAGAATAGATGGAATAAGTTAGAAACAAATACCAACATGGTAGGTTTAAACTCAACCATATCAATGATTACATTCAGTGTAAATGGTCTAAATATCCCAACGGGAAGATTGAAATTGTCAGACTGGATTGAAAGTAATGCAAGGCCCAGTCATCGGCCGCCTCTAAGAAACTCCCTTTAAATATAAAGACCCGAATAAATTAGAAAGGCCAGTTTGGTAGCCGCAGAGGAGGAAAGCTATTGCAGGTTCTTAGGGTCGGGGTTCAACTTAAATAATAGTAGTTAAAGTGGAGAGGAAGTGAAAGGCACGAAAGGTATGAGGGAGGTACAATCTCCAGGACCCAGTAACGGGTCATAAAGGGTCGTGGAGGGAGACAACTTCTGACTTGGGCCACTGTGCTGGGCCAGTGCGACGGCCCCTGTGAAGGGGAGGCATGGGGGTTTGCGGAGCCTGAGGGACATCCAAGCTAACACTGGGAGCAGGCATGTAGATGGAACTCAGGAGAAAAGGCTGTCTGGAGATTTGGATTTGGAATTCACTAGACAGAGGTTAAAGCCACTCCTTTGGATAGAATCAGCCAGGAAACTTGTATAATGGGATGAGAATGGCAGTACTGATCAGTGGGGAATTCAGAGGGGAAATTGAGGTCTGGGAAGGGGGAAAGAAGGGAAGGTTGGTTAGTAGCAAGTTAGAAATATACGAGGTTAATAAATTTAAGTGGAGATTATGCGCGGGTCAGAGAAGCCTTAATGGAATCAGATGAAGCAGGGGAAAGAAGCCCACCAAATGGGGATATTTTGCATCCTTTATTCACAGAAGTGAGGTGACCCAAGACCGCAGCTTCAGCTTAGCCATATGGATCTCTTTTTTTTTTTTTTTTTTTTGCAGTACGCGGGCCTCTCACTGTTGTGGCCTCTCCCGTTGCGGAGCACAGGCTCCGGACGCGTAGGCTCAGCGGCCATGGCCCACGGGCCCAGCCGCTCTGCAGCACGCGGGATCTTCCTGGACCGGGGCACGAACCCGCGTCCCCTGCACCGGCAGGCGGACTCTCAACCACTGCGCCACCAGGGAAGCCCCCATATGGATCTCTTGCTGCCTTGCGTCTGGGTTGGGCTGACCTAGAGGCTGTATTGGGAGGGGGGCAAGGAGTCAACATGTATGGGTGAGCCCTCAGAGGGGACCAGGACAGGGTGGTGAAAGAGGAAAGAAAGTAGAAGAAAGCGTGCTCAGGGAACTCAAGGGAGGAGAGGCAATGGAGCAGAAGGGAGTGGCAGCAGGCTGTGGCATCCTGAATGTGCCACATGGTAATCAGTGGAGGGACAGGGGCATTTCAGCAGTTTAAAGGGAGTGAGTGGGAGTTTTTGTGAAAATTAGGTGAGGTGACAAAGGCGAAACAGTCTTCTCTGAAAAGCAAAAGTATTCCACACGGGTGTTGTCACTGTTGTTCCTATTAGCTTCGGTGCTCTGGAGCCAGGGACAGTTAATATCATTCGTTCAGAGCACTCACAGTGTTTTGCAGATCCTGATTTTGTGGCCATCACAACACTGGAAACACAGAAGAGCAGGAGTGGTTGTGATTGCACAGGCTGAGTTGTCACATTCCAGTCCCGAAGGTGGTGGGGAATGTTTGATGGTCATGCCCACCAAGTCACACAGAACCATGACGTGGAGAGTGGAAAGAGCTTACTCTTCCAACAGGGAACTTGGGACACACAGGGGGTCTGGTTCTTGAAAATGACGCTAATGATCTGGTTGCTGAGTGGGGCTGAGGGAGGTTAGAAATAGATGTTCTGGTCTAGAATACTTTTCCTTGATCGACACTTATACCATCTTAGACTCCTGCTTTAGCCCTTAACTGCCTCTACGCCCTTCCTAGAGGCTGCACTCCCAAACCAGATCCTGCTCACTCATTTCAGGCTTCCTGACAGCCTTCACAGTAAGTTCCCCTTGCTATGCCCAGGCTCAGCCCTGACTCAGTCCTGGGTGCCACACCTGGATGCACAGGTGGTTCCTGGATGTCTCTGAACAGCTGCTGCACTTGAGGGACGTGAGCACCTGCCGACCCCCAGTGGCCATTGGTTGTATTACATTAGGAGAGGGAAGACTGCTCTCCAACAGGGTGGTTTTGTGCGAGACAGGGCTGGGCAGATGCAGGGGGAAATGCAGAAGACAAAATAGCTGGCGAGTCAGCCTGCCCTGCTGGCATCTTGTTCAGTGAAATGAAAAAAATGAATCGACTCGCATGAGAGTTTCTCTTAGGGAAGGAACTGCCTTTGTTTAGGAAAATATCTTGATAGATTACATTGAGTGTGGAATGAGACAGCGAAACAAAGGAAACAAGGTGATCCCTTGATGTAAGAAGCCAATGGGAATGTGCGGGGCAAGGAAGGCAGAGGATGGAATGGAGGGGAGAGGAAAGAGGGAAGAGGGAGAGCTGGGCAGAACCAGGACTAGAGTGAGACAAACGAGGTACCCAGGGGACAAAATTTAAGGAGGTGCTTGCTCTCAGGCTCATGAAAGTGCAGGGTTGACACCTGAGAGAGGGCACCTCCTTAAATCTTGTGACTTGGGTGCTTGGGGTTGAGGAAAACATCTGGAGGCCACCCCTGCAGGAAATGTAGCCAGAGAAATCTCCTGGTGGCAGGGGACAAGGATTTTGAAGAACAAGAGGGGATTGTAATCAACTTCTAATGCGTTTGCTGTGAAGTCTGTGATGTAATTATTTCCCTTTGCTGCCCGAAACCTTCAGTAAAGTCTGCTTATACATAAAGGCTTCATGTGAAAGGTTTGGGGAGAAGTGAAGGAAATGTGTTCTGTGTTTGGGTTGGCAGAGAGCAGGGAGAAGGGAACAGCCACTGGAAGTGAGACCTACAGATGCTCAGGGTCCCAGCAGGACCAGGACACTGAGAGTGATGGGAAACTTGGGGAAGGTGTGGGGCTTCCCATAGGACATAAGTCAATCTCTTTCTACTTTTTAAATAAACTTTTTATTTTGGAGTACTTTAAGATTTACAGAAGAGTTGTGAAGATGGTACAGAGAGTTCCTATACACCCTTCACTCAGTTTCCCCTAATGTTAACATCTTACATAAGCAGGGAACAAGCAATTAACATGGGCACATTACAGAGCTTTTCTGGGTCTACCAGTTTTTTCACTGAAGAGCCATTTTAGGATTCAGTCCAGGATCCTGCCTTGCATTTAGAGCCAATCATATTTAATTCCGACTGGCAAATAACTACAGTTTGGTTACAATGACTTTTTCAATGAAAAAGAAAAAAAGAGCTTTTCTTGGGCACAATGGGGGCAGTTTGTACAGGAGAATGAGCCCTTGCTTGGAGGCTGTTGCCCCTCTTTCTTTGGGCTAATTGGAATCCCTTCCAGATTTCTTTTTTACCATACGCCACCATCCCAAGGGGGCAGGCACAATAAATGCATCTGTTTTTCCAACACAGCCCACCAGAGAACGTTAGCAAAATGTTTACTTAGAAATAACCATTTGCTAACATTTATTGAGCACCTACTCTGTATCAGGCTAAGTATGTTCCGAGCCTCAACCCACAACTATACTGTGAGGCAGGTCATGTTATGTTTCATTCTATGGATGTGGAAACTAGACCCCAGAGTTGGAGTGGCCTGGGATTGTATAACATCTCATATACAAGTGTTGTCGATCGGTGGGGCTGGGATTTGAACTCAGGCAGTCTTGGCAATAGGTATCTGGCATAACCCAAGCCCACCTCTTCTTGGGTGCAAGCATCACCTGGCAGATTTCAAGCCAGCAGGTGTGGTACCTTCTGTAGCACCTTGACATTGTCACAGTATCTAAACTAGTTAGATCATTTGGACATGAGGTTGATGTCACCAAAATGGCTTCAGGAACCTGGGGGACGTTATACTGGCTTCCTGAGAAGGGAACACCCTGGTGCCAGCTGAGCCTTGACATCCGCTCGCCTCCTGTCCAGGTCACACCCTCTTGCGCTGTGATTCCCCAAACAGTCACGTGGGGCTCCTGCATACACAGAGGTTGGGTTGACATGGATGGTGCTGCCCTAAGGATGCTGTGAGCCTTTGGTCCCTCTGATAGGAGGCCAGTTATGAGGACAGTTCTGGCATCCGGACCAAGGCGCTTCCCTTACCAGATTTCCTAGGTGCATCCTTGGGGTAGTTGCCCGGGGTCATGCTGCTGAAGCGTTTTCCCTTTGCTTCCACTCTGTAGAGCCTTCCCCGTCCTCTCTGGAGCTTTGCCCTGAGGCCTGGGAGGGGAGCTGGAGAGACATTACAGGCTAGAGAACAGGGATCTGGCTCCGCCTCCTTCATTCCCGAAATGAACAAGTTCAAGGGCTTGCTGAAAGGCAGGCGAGGGGGCCTAAGGAGAGTCCTGCTCTGGGTGCTGGGATACTGGGACAGGGATGCACACTGGTGTTTGCTCACCAGCGCCTCCCTTCTGTCCCTATAGCTCAGAGGGAGGCCATGAGGGACCTTGGAAACCACAGCCTTCGCTGGCGGTCTCCTCTTTCCAGTGGCACTCCTGAGTGATTTAGGGGAGGGAGGTGGCGCCCGGGAAGAATGAACTCTACCACAGCGGTGCAAGTCTTCCCACCGGGGTGTGCAGAGTGTTGGGTGGGGGCTGGATGGGTGGAGGGGGCAGGTGATCCCTTTGGGTGCTAGTGTGGGGCAGGAGTGAATTTTAGAGCTTTAAATTTTAAAAAGAGTAGCCAATCCCCCGCGGGAGCAGAGTGGGTGCCCCTCCTTCACGTGGAGACAGTGGTGGGGCTGTGTCACCTGCTTAGAGAATGCCACCTGGTGGTTCCCTCCCTGCTGGTTCTGGACCTTTTGGGCTTTCTTTTCTTCCTTCACATGTGCTGCAGAGAGCGTCACCGCCTTGGGTTTGTTCTTCTGAAAGAACAGGGAGAAAAACCCAGTGGATGGCCCACTGGGCACAGACCAGCCCTGCACCCTGCAGCGTGGAAGGTGCCACACAGCTTTCGCACCCACTCTGGCGCTCCCTTTCCCCCTTGCAGCCCCTCTGCCTCCTGACGCACCCGGTGTCCATATCACACCACCCCCAGGATGGCCTTCCAACCCCAGGTCTGGCTGTCCCTCTCCACCTCAAAATCCATCACTATCGCCCTCCACGTGAGGGCCCCATGCCCCAGCCTGGTAGGTATTCCTTCTGGCCCTCAGATGGCCTCTCTCGCTGCCACTTCCCTACCACGACCTCCAGTCTTCAAGCCCAGCCAGGGCTGCTCCCTGTGCCCAGAACACCTCCTCTCCTTGTCCCACTCCCACCCCGTCTTGTCCTCCCAGAGCTGTGATCACAATGCCTCCTGCCTTTCTATTTCCCTGGGTGTTCCTCTCTGCCTGCTGGGAAAGGAAGGTCAGGCACATGCAAGTCCGTTCAGAGCACGTGTGCTCGGCCCGAAAGCTGCCGCCAGGAGCACCCAGGGAAAGAGTAAGGCTCATTAGGGAGCGGCAGGGCCCATCGGGGGAGGAGCCCACAGACGCACATCCAGACCCATGTCTAAGGGGTGGACATGGGGTGCTGGAGCATTGTGGGGAAGCTGAATCAACGAGGTCTCCTCTTCGGGTGTGCCGTAGGGTGTCGGGTTCATGGGGTGTTGGCTGAGACTGGTCTCCAGGGCTGACGGCCCGGCTTGCAATCCTGCTCTATGGCTGAGTGTCTGAGCAACCTTGGGCAAGGGACGGCTCTCTCTGAGGACGGGGACGACTGCAGAACCTACTTCATAGGGTCATAGTGGGAAATACACGAATCACTGCGCAGAAGTGCTAAGCCCTCCATGAATGTTAGCCACACTGTATGGGCAGAAGGAGGGTTTGGATAAGCCATCTGGATGTGTGGAAGGAAGCTGTCCAAGGTCCTGCTTGAGGCCATCAAAGGACGGGGTGCTACTCAACTTCAGGGCTTTGTTTGGCTTAGTGGGGGGAAGGGGCGCAAGCTGGGTCCAGGGCTGATGCTGCAGGGTGATTAGAGAGAGACTAAGGCCGGCTCCCCCGCGGGTGACCCACCTCCCACCTTCTCTTCTCAACCCTCAGCCTCTCCTCAAGAGTCACCTGAGTAGCTACCAGCCCCCATTTTTGGAGGAAGCTGAGTGGAATGGATGTGGTGATACCACAGACCCAAGGAAACTGCAATAGCCACGATTCAGTGGCCCCTGTGGCTGAGACTTTGAGACTTCAGGGGTCTTCATGGATTGCAAATGGATCACAAGGGGCACAGCCCTCTGGGTAGCTCCATAATCGTGCTGAAGTGGAGAAAAGCCTGGATTGCCAGGAGAAGGGAGAGGAGGCTGCGGACAGCACCCCTCCAACCATCTTCACTAAAGTGTCCCCCGCCACCTGCCATACGAGACCTGCCACGGAAGCATCACCCTCTCTCTCAGGAGCGTCTTTCGAAATACAAATGCTTCTGGTAAGGGTAATGATGCTTGAAGATTTAACTGTATTTTCAGATTAAATTGTTCCCTCCCTGGGTCCAAACTTATTTACAATAAAAGCCACATATAAGGTAAAGCTGTGAAAACATTATTAGAGTATAATCTTTTGAGACAAATATCATACGATATCGCCTATATGTGGAATCTAAAAAAATGGTACAAATGAACTTACTTACAAAACCGAAGTAGACTCACAGAGGTAGAAAACAAACTTATGGTTACCAGGGGGTAAGGGTGGGGGAGGGATAAATTGGGAGATTGGGATTGACATATACATGCTACTGTATATAAAATAGATTACTAATAAGAACCTGCTATATAGCACAGGGAACTCTAGTTAATACTCTGTAATGGCCAATATGGGAAAAGAATCTAAAAAAAAGAGTGGATATATGTATATGTATAACTGATTCACTTTGCTGTACTCCTGAAAATAATACAACATTGTAAATCAACTATACTCCAATAAAAATTTTTTAAAAAGGAATATAATCTTAGTACGAAGAGATGGGATCAAACATATTCATCATAGAACTGAATATGATTTCTGCGAATGAGTTCTGAGAGGCCCAGAAATGGGGGGAAGGGGGAGAGTAGGTAAATCACTAACGCCTCAGAGTAAAATATGTTTGTCAGATGTGTTTACACGTATCTGATGGAACTGGCACTCCAGATCTCTCTGACTATAATTGACAAGTAAGCACATAACCAGAACAGGAGCTCCCCTGAAAGGCAGGGGCCGCTGAACCGGGTGAAGCAGGAGAAGGGGAGGTGGTGATGGTGCGTGGGCCCGACAGCCCACGAGCTTGGAAACTGGATAAATCTGAGGTTGAGCCCTGGCTCGGCCCCTCACTAGCTCTGTGAGCTCAAGCAAATTATTCCTCTTCATCTCAGCTTCTTATCCTTCAGCTGGTGGTAAGAACGGTGCCTACCTTGTAACCTTGCTGGGAGCAGTTGACCAGACAGCTCATTGCAGTAAGCACAGGGCCTGGCACACAGGAAACGCTTAATAAAAGTTATCATTGTTCATAGTAATGCCGTTTTCACCCATTTTTCTCTGGGAGTCAAGATTAGGTGGCAGAGGCCACTTTCTGCAGAGGAGAGAGACCACTTTCCAAGGGCATGGCTTAATTTTCTGTAGACGATGGGCCCAGAGCGGAACTCTGGGGGAAACTGGGGCAAAATTGGTTGTCATAGTTCCTGGAGAAAGAGGAAAGGGTGGTGCTACAGACTGAATGTTTGTGTCCCCCTAAACTCCTATGCTGAAATCCTTATGTGATGGTGTCAGGAGGTGGGGACTTCAGGAGGTTGTTATATCATGAGGGTGGAGCCCTCATAAATGGGACTAGGGCCTTAAAAAAGGGCCCCTGAGAGCTCTCCTGACTCTTCCTCTTTATCAGGATATAGCAAGGAGGCAGCCATCTATGAACCATGAAGCAGGCCTTCATCAGACACCAAATCTGCTGGCACCTTGATCCGTAAGAAGGAAATTTCTGTTGTTTCTAAGCCACCTGGTCTATGGTATTTGGTTGTAGCAGCCCAAATGGACTAAGACAGGCGGTTACAACCAGTTCTAACGCAGGATAGAAAGGAAGAGGTATGTTAGCAGGAGTCCCAGTGGGGCTAGTGGAGGTGGAGAATGCCCTCTGACCCTGGGACCATCATGTGGATGGAAGTGCCTGGGGACAGTGGGAGGACCCATTCTGAGATCATCAAGACACTAGAAGCTATTGCCTCTCAGCCCTTCTCCAACACTGACCAAGATGGCTTTAAGGTCCCTTCACCTCCACTAAACTAGGTAGGTTTCTTCCTGACTCTAGGACCTTGACCTCCCTTTTCCTAGAACAATTCCTTTAGACAATTTACACCTGTAAATTCTTTCTCTGCCCCTTTGAGATGTAAATCTTCTCCCAGCCTCTTGCCCAGCTTTATAATCCAGGAATGTTTTTCTCCAGAGTTTGGGAGCCATCCCCTTGAAATGCAATCATCAGGAAAGATAGCATTCCCATCTCCCAGTCTCTGTGGGAGGGTAGGAGCCTAACTACATAGGGATAATTAGCCAACAAGGATGGCCTGATCACAGTGACAATCTCTCCCCATGTCCTCCGGTGCTCTTCTACTGGCTCACCCCAGTGCTGCAAACCCTCCCCTCACCCCATCACATCATACAGTAGTAGTCTCGAATGAAGCCTTCCTTGCAGGTTTTCTTTGACAGTAAATATACACCTGGAGAGCTTGCTTCTTCTTCCCCTGCCTCCGCTCCAGCCACTCCAACACCCACTTGAGGTCTGACATCCGCCTCTCCTCGGCCGTCCTCCACACATACTTCCTTTCTGTGGGCAGGGAATCCTTCAGGTCCTCTGAATACTCTGTCATCATGGAGCCTTGGTCATGCCTTGGGTGGAAAGGTGGCACACTCTTGCTTTGTTGAACCCTCTGCCTCTGGTTGCTGGCCTGGATGACTCAGATGGTAGGGTTTTGTCCCCTAGATGTGAACATAAATGTGAACATAAAGGGCAGCGTTAGGCCAGAGCCGGGATATTAACCTTCAAGGGTAGGAGATCCAGAGGGTGATTGTGAGGTCACTGTCAGGCTGTCCATGGGGGTCAGAGTGGAGCAAGACACTGGTTTCCCCTCTTGGCCACTGTCCCTCTTTAGGCACTGTCCATCACTTGGATTCTGCCACAGCCTCCTTTATGGGCTCTCCACTTCCATTTCTACAGAGATCTTATTAAAACAAAGCTCAGCTCACCTATCTCCTTTTCTCCAAAACCTTCAATGACTCCTTGTAGCTTATAAAAAAAAATCTAAACTTTCTTAGTCTGGTAGGCTTTCCACAGTGTGCTCTAATTAGACTGAAGATTTGTATAGCCTTAAGTACTTTTATAGTCATTGAACAGAGAGTTATCAGATGCCTACTACGTGCCAGACATGGTGCTGGAGATACAACACAGATGAAGACATAGTCAGACCTTCTAAAACTTATGGACTAGTGGGAAAGACAAAACAGCAGGCAAATAATTACCCTGTGAATCCATAATGACAAATGAAGATGCGTGCTCTGAAGGAGAGGACTATAATTCTAAGAACTAAACAAAACAAAAGAACTAGACTTGGATGGGTAATGAGTAGATCACACTTGGGGAGTGGCTGGAGTTAAAGGGTAAGCTGGTCTCAATGGGGCTCTGGGCCAGGGGGACAAGCGTGTGCAAAGGCCCTGTGGCAGGATTGAAGCAGGGAACACTTGAGGAATAGCAGAAGGCCAAGGTGGCTAGTGTACTAGGTAATGAGAAATGATGCTGGAGATGTGGGCAGAGGCCGGACCAGAGAGCACCTTGGAGGTCACAGGTTTGCTGAGACTGGGAAGGAAAGGGAAGCAAAGGGAAAACAATAAAGGGAATCAAACATAGGGGAGGGAGTGACATGATCAAGCTTCCTTTTTTGTTTTAGTAAACTTTTATTGATGGAAACTATATGCAGAAGTGTGCCAGAATCACAAGTAACTAATGCTCCAGAAATTCCCCCTCATGGCCCCTGCTAGTCACTACCTCCCTCCAAAGGTAAGCAGTGCTCTGACTTCTAATTTCATAGATTTCTTTTGTCTGTTGGAGTTTTATATAAATAGAATCATACACATGTAGTCTTTTGTATCTGGCTTCATTTGTTTTACAATATATTTGCAGGATTTTAGCAATGAATTCTTTAGTCTTTGTGTATGTAGAAATGCTTTTATTTTTGCCTTCATTTCTGAAGAAAAATTTGCTGGATAATAGAATTTTTGGTTAACCGTTTTTTTCAGCACTTTGATGTGTTATTTCATTCTCTTCTGCCTTTCGTTGTTTTATGTGGGAAGTCGGCTGTTAATCATATTGTTACTCTCCTGCATATATGTCATTTTTCTCTTGCAGATTTTTCTCTTTCAAATGTCTGCTATGATGAGTCTAGGTGTGAATCTCTTTGTATTTATCCCACTTGAGATTTGTTGAATTTTTTGGATATGTATTTAATGTCTTTAAATACATTAAATTCTGGAAGACGTTGGCCATTATTTTTTCCATTATTTTTTTCCTGCCCTTCTCTCTATTTCTGGACTCCCATTATACATCTGTTGGCAGGTTTAATGCTGTCCCTCTGGTCTCTAAAGCTTTGTTCATGTTTCTTCAATTATTCTCTTCTCTGTTCTTCAGACTGGATAATTTCTATCAGTCTATCTTCAGGTTCAATCTTCTTTCCTCTGCCATATATAATCTGATGTTGAGCCTTTCTAGTATAATTTTCATTTCAATTGTACTGTTCAAGCCCAGAATATCCCTTTTTAAAAAATAATTTCTTTCTCCTTATTCAGAATCTCTCTTTGTTGATTCATTGTTGTCATGCTTTCATTTAAAATTTAAAACATAGTTTACTTTAGTTCTTTGACCATATTTTAATAGGTATTTAAAGTCTTTCAATTCAACATCTGGGAACACTCAGACGGTTTCTATAGACAGCTGTTTTTCTGAGTATGTGTCATACTTTCCTGTTCCTTTGTATAACTTGTCATTTCTTTTTGTTGACAATTGGACATTAAAAAATATAGTAGTAACTTTGGATTCTGATTCACCCCTCTGCCCTCAAGGTTTATTGTTACTGTTTTTTCATTTGTTTATTTTTAAAGTAACTTCTTCAGGCTCTGTGAACCAGACAATCCCTGTCTGGGAATCTGGGAATCCTGTCTTCCCTATGGTATGAAGCTGCTGAAGTTCTGATTAAATTTTTTATATTCTTGTTTGTATATTTAAGTCTAGCTTCCTAAGCATTGTCTCTGTGTCTACACCTGCATATCAGATTGGACAGAGATTGTGCTCAAACACCTCAATTATCTGTCCTCTGCTGATCAGTCTGTGTGTGGGTAGGGGAGCCGTATCAGTTATCATGTTGCTACATGACAGATGATCCCGAAGTTTAGTGGCTTAAAACAAAAGCTTTTTCTACCACACAGTTTTTCTGGGTCAGGATTTTGAGTGTGCTTTAGCTGGGTCCTCTGACTCAAGCTAAAATCAAGCTGCTGGCCAGGTTGATTGGCCCAAAAGGCTTGACTGGGAAAAGATGTACTTCAAAGCTCCTCATCTGGTTGTTGGCAGGACTGGGTTCCTTGCAGTCCATTGAACTGAGTTCTTTCTTTGCTGGCTGTTGGCAGAAGGCCACCCTCAGTTCTCTGTGACATGTGCCTCTCCACAGGGAAGCTTACAACATGGCAGCTTGCTTCATCAGAACAGCAAGGGAGAAGAACTAAAGAGTGGTTGAGAGCAAGAAAGAAGTCAGTCCTTTATAACCTAAACTTGGAAGTGACATCTATCACTTCTGCCATGTTCTGTTTATTAGAAGCAAGTCACTATGTCCAGACAACACCCAAAGGAAGGATTACACAGGGCAGTAATCCTAGAGGTGAGGATCATTGGGAACCATTTTAGAAGCTGCCTATCCCAGCAGTACATTCAAAATTCAGGCCATTTTCACACGGTCCATATCATTTACTTTCTACTGGGCTCTTTCTTGTCTCCTTTACACACATTCACAGCCTCAGGGCTGGCCAGGAGCCTGTGGCTTGATTGAGCCCTTTCTAGTTTCTGTGGTGCATGCATGCAGCTTTAGCCAAAAATATATATGCCCAAACACAACGGCAACATTTGTCCAGTGGAGTTGTTGGCCTACCTGCTTTTCTGACTTGGAGATTTTCACTTAAACCAACAAGGCTGCCAAGAGTGGGTGCTGCTCTCTGATCCAAATCCAGTGAGCCCCCTTTAACCAAACCGGAGAGACTGCCCCACCTTGGTGGACCCTCCCTTCGGACTGAACTGGGAGGAGGGGAATGGGAGCCGCCTCCAGCTAGAATGCCATAGATTCTCACTGTTATTGCCCAAATTTCCAGTTTCCAAGCACAAATGCTGTTCCAATGGTTGTTGATGTCCAGAGTGCTGCATGGTTGTTTTGATCAATTTTGCCCAGCTTTATAATTGCGTTTTGGGGAGAGGATTTACGATATTCTCACTCAGCCGGAGGCAGAAGTCCCCTGCCAATGCACACTTTACGTAACACATTTTGGAAGACCCCCTTTGCTATCTTGCAATAAAATACACATATTTTAAAAAATTACCATAATCCTCCAAACAACAACAAAAAAAGAGGAATTAGAAAAATATAGTCTTCCTTTGGGCGTGTGTCAATATTTTAATGTGTGGTCTCAACTAAAATAGAAGACGTATCTCCCCAATTTTCCAAACTCCTCTGAGGGAATGGTACAACTCCACTGAAAACCAATGAAATAATCTATTGTAATCAATCAAGAATGGTTAGGATGGGTGGAAGCAGGCAGGGTACAGTCACACGGTCTATCCCCATTCAGCAGGGGCTGTGGGCTGGGGAGGCAATGATAAGTAGGCATCAGTACAGTGAGCAGGTGAGTGAATGAGCAAGTGAGTGAATGGACAATACCTGGCGCCTAATCTCAGGCTTCTTCATCCTAGGTTTCTCTTCCCCGAATCTTCAGTAGAGGTCACATGTTTCTAGAAGCCCTATTCTGAGGTTGAAACTGGGGTAGCCGAACTCTACTCTTGTGAACATAAGTATTAGTGCTCTAGGTCATCTGACAGCCATCACTGTCATTTTGAGAGACCAGAGGCCAGGCCACCCAGGTCCCAGAGGATCATCTCACGGGACAGGAGGGTGTTCAAATCAAGGAACGTTTACACATGTGTCTCTGGTGCCAAGCACCGTGCTGGGCACTGAGGAAGGAGGACCCAGAGATTAATCAGAGTCAGTCCCTGCCCTCATGGAGCTTGTTGTTTCCTTAGGGAGACATTTACAAAGCCTGGTGGGCACTGTTGTGTCTCCCCATTCTCCCTCCACTGCTGCCCCTTGTAGTTTGGGTGAGTAAACACTGCACCAATTTGAGGGAAGGGACCAGATTGGTCTGAGCCAATCAACATGCGGCCTTCCCCAGGTTACCGTGATTGACACAGTAGGGGCCCAATCAGCATGGAATGGGGAGCTTTTGCTAGAGATGTGAGGAAACAGACTCTCTGTGAATGGTGGGGCATTTGGATGTAAAGCCTGGAATGGTGGTGGTCATTTTGTTCTGATGAGGGAGGGAAGATACCACGAGGATGAACCCCATTCAAAGAGCAGGGCAGAGCCATGAGGCTCACTGAAAAATTGAACCAGTGTCTGAGCTTTTCAGACTTTTAATGTGTAACTCAGCCTGAGTTGTGTTTCCTGTTACTTGCAATCAAAATCTTTTGTGTGATACGAACAGCTAATACAGGGGAGATGGTGCAGTAGTGACATTACAAAATGCGTTGTGAGAGCACAAGGGAGGGCATGGTAAAGTCTGCTTCGGGGGCTGAGAGAAAACTCCACCGAGGAAGTATTAGAGCTAGGTAGGTCTTAAAGGATTTTGCAGAGTATTTTTTTTTTTTTTTTTTTTTTTTGCGGTACGCGGGCCTCTCACTGTTGTGGCCTCTCCTGTTGCGGAGCACAGGCTCCGGACGCGCAGGCTCAGCGGCCATGGCTCACGGGCCCAGCCGCTCTGCGGCATGTGGGATCTTCCCGGACCGGGGCACAAACCCATGTCCCCTGCATCGGCAGGCGGACTCTCAACCACTGCGCCACCAGGGAAGCCCTTGCAGAGGATTTTGACAATAGGAAAATTACATTCCAGATGGAGGGAACTGCATCCACCAGAGCACGGAGTTGTATGGGGAGGTAATACTCTGTGTCTAAAGAGTGGAGACCTGGGGACAGGGAGTGGGGAGCTAGTCTGGAACCAGCGAATGAAGGTACAGGGATGTTTTGTTGCTTTAGAAAGCTCATTCATTCAACAATCAGCTCTTGAATGCTTCTGATGGGCCAGGTACCTCTAAGTGATGTGTGCAGAAATAGGGGCAGGTGGGGAGGAGAGTGGACAGGCTGAGCTGGAGAAAGTCAGGAAGACACCTGCATATATAGAAACAACATCAAATAGAGCACTGTTGCCAGCAAGCCTGGATCCCAAGTCCAGATTGGACCTGGGATTGAGTTGAGGGTTGGGTGAAAGAAATGAAGCTTGGGAATTTGGCGGTGGAGTGGAGAACAATGCCCTCCCCCCTTCCCCCCACCAAATAGTACTTATTGAAACAAATTGCAAGGCAATTTATTGACATGATGTTCATTAAGGTTTTAATAAAAGGCCATTAGGAGCAATGGTGCAAAAGAAATAGAAAGTCTTTAATCCATTTTGAGTTGATTTTTGTGTATGGTGTTGGGGAGTGTTCTAATTTCATTCTTTTACATGTAGCTGTCCAGTTTTCCCAGCACCACTTATTGAAGAGGCTGTCTTTGTATATTCTTGCCTCCTTTGTCAAAGATAAGGTGACCATATGTGTGTGGGTTTATCTCTGGGACCTAGAGTCTGTCATACGGAATGAAGTAAGTCAGAAAGAGAAAAACAAATACCGTATGCTAACACATATATATGGAATCTAAAAAAAAAAAATGGTTCTGAAGAACCTAGGGGCAGGACAGGAATAAAGACACAGACATAGAGAATGGACTTGAGGACATGGGGAGGGGGAAGGGGAAGCTGGGACGAAGTGAGAGAGTGGCATGGACATATATACACTACCAAACGTAAGGTAGATAGCTAGTGGGAAGCAGCCGCATAGCACAGGGAGATCAGCTCCGTGTTTTGTGTCCACCTAGAGGGGTGGGATAGGGAGGGTGGGAGGGAGACGCAAGAGGGAGGGCATATGGGGATATATGTATACATATAGCTGATCACTTTGTTATACAGCAGAAACTAGCACACCATTGTAAAACAGTTATACTCCAATAAAGGTGTTAAAAAAGAAAGAAGAAATGGAAAGTGTGGTTGGGGGAAGATGGTGTTTTTCCATGCTTTCTGTCATCAGAACCAACATGCAGTCCTGCCCCCAGCTGGCCCATCCCTAGGCTCACTCTTCCTGGCTTTAGAGCCTGGCTCTGTCTTGGGGACAGAGGGTGGGGGGTGGGTTAAGAGAGATGGAAACTCAGTGGGCTGTACCCAGGGAGCCTTGACAAGCTTCCCTCCCTCTCTGCCTCCCTCCCTTTAACAGATATTCTGGCAGAACCTAGGTAATCAAGAGGCTCTTGGACTGCAATTGAAGAGCCGAGATTGCAAGACCGGACCCCTGAGACATTCCGAGGGTCAGAGCTGGAAATGCTCTTGGACCCCTGTAGTACTCGCTCTCATTTCACAGATGAGGTGGAGCCCAGAGCCCAGAGAGCCCAAAAGACCTGCCCAAGGTCAAAGCCAAATAGTGAGACCTGGGAATTCCATTAATAATAACAAAGCCCAG